ATTGTCATTAAAATAAATTTCATTAAGTGTGTGCACTGAGATAAGTAGGTGTGTGGAAATGGAATTTTCCAAATTTCATATCTTAAATCTTTCTCAGACTCATTTTTACTTTGATATTTCATTAGGGGTTAAAAAATAAATGTATTAACTCTAGCGGTTATGAAGACGGATTATAAATTTTAAAGTTTAATCTGCAATTAGCAGATATTCGGATTAATGCAAATCGATGCAATTTTAGAGGATTTGGTGGTATTTTTTACAGCCCTAGTTGTCGGTGGAAAAGAATGGACTGGAAAGGATTGTTAGTGGGAATGGAGATTGGAGAGGGAGGTCACAGTGAGGATGGATTGGGATTTCCTAGCTCGAGGTGGTGGCAATAGCCATTGTTGGTTAGTGGTAGCCAAAGATGACCGAGGGAAGAAAGAAAATTGGAGAGAGATGAGAGAAACATGGGTGTAAAAAAAAAAATGTGAGATTGGGAATAAGGAGAAACTTGGTATATCGAAAAATGTAAAGATATAAAATAAAATTTAAATATTTTAAATGAGTGTAATGAGAAATTGAGTGTGAGAAGACTAAATTGTTGTGTAAATAGAATTACTTTTGCACATCACTATATCTTCCAGTACACAACATTTGCCATTTTTATTTTATTTTATTTCCATTGCATCCCTCAAGTAAATTACTCTTTTAGACAAAACCTTTAATTCCACTCTTTTGGTACATACAGCACACATTGCCTACCACTACCACTGCTACCTCTAATGGCAGTGGCGACAGTGGTCAGGGGGGAAATTAGAGTTAGGTTAAAATTTGGGTTGAGATTGAAGAAGATAGGAATATTTTGGGGATATTTGAAAATTAATGGTGTGCATTAAACATAAATCAAAAAATCAAAATTTGTTTATGGCGTGTACTGAGTGAATGGTGTGTATTAGAATAGAATGTGGTGTGAAAATAAAATTTCTCTACTTTCTCTCAAATCATACACTATTTTTAGTTTGGATAAACTTTTGAATAAAACTACATAGTTTATCAATCAAGACAAATTATCAATTTTAAATAGTAACCCATTAAGTTTTCTATGCATTTTCTTAAATTTTTTTCGTTTGTTAATTTATTTATTTTTGGTAAAATAAATTTTATCACAGTCCACTTCATAATTTGGTTCATTGCAATGAGTTAAACTAAAATAATTATTCTATCAAAATATTATTCTCACATTTCGTTTATTAAAAACATTATGAAAGATATACTGTAAATATAATTATCATTTATCGTTATAAAAAAAATCATTCCATAAAAAAAATTAAAAAATAATCATTTTATTTTATTCTAATCCATTTTCGTTTTAATAAATCAAACCTATCTAAATTTTATTGTCGCATAACAATTTTCCCTCACCATTAATGCGTGGTAAAACAAAAAGAATATTATTTATATTAGCAATTTTGTAGATTAAAGAACCCTTTTCCCTTGAAATAAAATTTCTAGTAAATTTTATATGCATTTGAGTTTAATTCCATGTAATTTTAATTTTATATAAACTATGGCCATAGATGAAAGAAACACATCAAAGTTGTGGTTTTGGGCAGGCCTGACCCAAAACAGAGAGTTTGTTCCAAGATAGGTGTCCAAACCAAAGTTTGGGTCACAGACAGATGGGCCCAAAAACAGAATATGATTACGAAATAATTTTAAAACCATGCTTAAACGGGTTTTGGCCGAGACAAAACAGATTTTGTATTTAAAAGAGGAAGAACTTATATGTAAGTCTTAATATATAGATTTATTATCTAATAAGTCTTATGATAATTAATAGTATTTTTTATTAAATATTATTAAAAAAAATTCATTAATTGTTAATTTTCAGTGACAATTTAAAATTTTGTTATAAAAAATGTCACTAAGGCCTCATTTGGCAATTACATGTTTTAACAAAAAAGTCAAAAAGTCACTATAAGTTGTCGCATCACTCTCTATACTTTTCTATACAACTTTTTGTAAAAGGCCAAAATGTTATCAAAATAGTTTGTTCCCAAACGAAGCCTAATTATAAGTTTTAGTGACAATTTTAAAAAATCATCATAAAAAAAGTTACTATTTTTTAACTTTCAGCGACAGTTTAAAAAAATCGTTATAAAAAAAGTCACTGATTATAAGTTTGAACGACAATTTATAAAAATAGTGATAAAAAAAGTCGCCAATTGTCAATTTTTTCCGAATAAGAAGACGGTGGAGATTTTTGATTGGAGCACGAAGGCTCTTTGATGTTATTTGTTGAAACTCTGAAGATAATATATTTTGGGATTGGGCCCCGTTTGTTTGGGGTTATAGGGAGGGGATTGAAATTACTAATCCCTTGGTATTACTAATGGGGTGTTTGTTTTGAGAGATGGGGAGGAGACTATTAATCCTTTGGTATTAGTAGTCCCCTTGGAAGGGGGATTGGTAAAGAGGAGATAAAGATGGTATTAGAAAAATAGTGAGGGGATTAGAGTATTTTTTTTTTATATATTGGGAATTTTTTTTAAAATATTAATGTTTAATTTAATTTATTTTTTTATTTGTTTTATTATTTTATATAAAAATAATTTAACAATTCCTCACTATTAATCCCCTCACTATCAATCCTCTCACTATTAATCCTCTCATTATCAATCTTTTCACTAACAATCCCCTCACTAGTAATCTCTTCACTATAAATCCCCTCCATTCTATCTCTAAAAACAAACGGGTCCACCTTGTGTGTACTCAAGGGACTGTTCTTGAAACTTGAACGGCATTAGCGCACCTTAGTTTTGCAACTCTCTTACTTTGAACTGTTTTACACTTGAATCTATATTTAGAAATGATGATGTATAATTTATTGGAAATAGTTCAATGAGAAAGTGATTAGTTTTTAGTAAAAGACGATGTTTCTTTATTTATATTTTCATGTGAATTTGACAGTAATGAGGATAAATAGAAAAATATTTAAAGGTTTTGAATATAAATGGATTGGAATTTTAGGGGTGTTACATTTATCATCCTTAAAATTCACTTTTAATGATGTGTTTAATAAGTGTCAAATTTTAATTTGTCAAACATTTTATCATGTGAGGTCTAACCTCAATAGCGGGGCTGATAAATTAGAAAAATGTAACATTGTTGTTTAACAATTATAAACTCAACAATCTCCAAAAATGTATGTAATGATATCTAATCTATCAATTAAGCATCGGTTCATACTCTTAACATATATATGCCTTCGTTTGGCAAGTTGGTTTCCAGGTTTTTTTTTACTATTTTAGTCACAAAAGACAAAATAAGCTATTTTAGCCACAAAAAACAAAACATCACATCCAACCCATAATCATTACACTATTCTCTCATAAAAAAAATCAAAAAAACCAAGAAGCCAAAAAACCCTTCCCAAACCAAACTTTTTAGCTCAAGCTAAAATAGCCAAAAAAACCAAAAAATTAAAAAGTCAAACCCACTTCTCAAACGAAACCTATAATTAAGTATATATTTACTGAAGGCTAAATATAAAATGGTCATTAGAAAGGTATTGTAAACATATATGGTTAGTATTTTTGCGTATGAACTGGACTTTTATTGACAGGACTTTTATGGGAAGTTATAATTAAAATTTTGGTTACGCAGTCAACATTAAAATTTTGGTAACACTGTTAATGCGTAATAAATATGGATAAAGATGATTTAATAATTATGAATTTAACAATCTCCAAAAAGGTATGTAATTATGTCCAGTCTATTGATTTTTATGTTTCTTATTTAAAAGGCTTATGTTTACACCATATTTATATTGTTTCTACTACATTTATGTTCTATTTTATTGAAAATTTCTATACACTTATAATTTCTTTATGGTTTTTCCCTTTTGGATAATAATAATAACAATAATAATAATAACAATAAAAGTGATAGAAACAAAGACATCATTTTTTTGTGTGATTGAATGTATTTTCAAGAAAATATTCACATATCTATTGAAAAATAGGTTAGATAATTATAGAAGATTAACGCCAGGCCATTGATTCATTCGAACTTAAAATCTTATCTCACCAGCACCTAACTGTCCGCTTTATGTCTACTTGGGCTACAATCTGAGTCAAGTTATAATGTTTGTAGAGATAATATTTAATTATAATTAAACTAAAAAAATGAAGGTATTTTTTCATAAATGTCATATTTCCAGCTTATGACCCACGTGGTCCCGTTCATATTTTTATTATCTTTTAAGTCATTTTTTTTTTAAAATGTGAAATGACTCTATTGTCATAATTTTAATATGAAAACAAATAATTATTGTAAACTTTATTTTAAAATCGTTCAAAAAAAAATTTGAATACAAAATTTTCAAAACAGAATCATGAAATTGTCTCCTACATTCCATAAAAGGAATTTGCAAATTTTGAAACCCAATATTCACATAAAAATTTTTTAATTTTTACAACCCAACGTAATGTGAACATTGAATGGGACTGACATAGTATCACTTCTAAAAAATTGATTTTTGTAATGGCTAAGGCAAATAGTACAATACTTGTTGCAAAAAAAAAAAAGAAAAAAAAAAGAAAAAAAAAAAGAAAAAAGAAAAGAGGCGACTGTTAAATAACGAAAAAAGAGGACTTGAGCACAATTATCTTAAATGGTATTTGTGACATAACTCCATAAATTAAAATATTAAATTGTTTCACACTTTGAATTTAAGTCTCTTTAAGCCATTTTAGAGCAATCACTAGTGCATTTAATAATGAGAGCCTTATCTACTATAATCTAGGAATTAGAATGTGATTATGTGTACTAATTACTTTTAAAACTTATTCATGAAATCTAGCCCAGGAGAAAAAAATTACCATTTGTATAAAAAAATATTTTTTTATTAATTTAAATTACTAAAACATTTTCTGAACCTAAATAGTATAAAACCCTGGTTAATGGTTACACAAAAGAACTTCTGAATTTAACATTCCCAATTTGCACTACTCTGCAAGGCAGGTTTTTTCATTTACAGTGATCAATCATGGGCTCCATGAGCACTCAGTTCCTTAAGAATAAGGTTGTGTTCATCATGGGTGCAACGGGAACTGGGAAATCTCGACTCTCCATTGACCTTGCCACCAATTTCCCCGCAGAGATCATAAACTCGGATAAAATTCAAATGTATCGAGGACTTGATATTGTTACCAACAAGATTACCAACTTGGAGCGCCAAAGAGTGCCTCACCATTTGCTAGGGGAGTTTGATCCTGATTCCGACTTCACTGCTCGAGATTTCTGTTATCATGCTCTTGAGGCTATCGAAAAGATAATAAGGTTTGGACACCTTCATCCTTAGCCCCTATTAGCTTGATGTATTATTATTATTATTATTATTATTTGGAGTTAGTAAAATTATTTTTTTCTGATAAAAAAATAGGTCTGGACGCATTCCTATCATCGTTGGTGGGTCAAATTCCTTCATTGAAGCATTGGTGGAGGACCCTGACTTCAAGTTCAAGTCGCAATATGATTGTTGCTTCATATGGCTTGATGTTTCGTTGCCTGTTCTGCACTCGTTTGTCTCAAAACGAGTTGACCAAATGGTTGATGCAGGTTTGTCGTGGCCATTTTTGTTGTTGTCGTTATCATTGTCATTTTTCATTTTCCATTTTATGACAGGAATTCCACCCTATACATTTTTTTGGATGGGTTGAGTGATGGCTTGTTTGGGAATTAACTTTTTTAGTGGTTTTTATGTTAAAACTCGATCACTTTTATCCCACTATACTATTTGTAAGGATTTAGTTTTTGTTTCATCAGCATTTGTAAGGATTTAGTTATTGTAAGTTTCTCTCAAAACAAGTTGCCCAAATGATCCATCCAGGTTTGTTGTGACAATTATTGTTATCATCATTGTTGTTATTTGTTATTTTTTCTTGATAGGAATTTTACCCGTAAATCTTTTTGCATGGGTTAAGTGAATTTCAGATACACATATGAACTTGTGTGTGACTTAAACAAAACTCATAATTTAAGGAGTCAAAATTTATGATAAAGCCCGATTATTCTTCTACTATTGTACTATTTGTACCATTTATGATAAAGCCCGATTATTCTTCTACTACTGTACTACTGTATTACTGTACTATTTGTACTACTGTACAACTGATTAAGTGTCTTGTTTTTCCTTAATGGCATGTTTGATTGGAAGGATTAGAGTATGAGATTGGAATTATTAATCCGCGGGTCCAATTATCCTATGTTTGTTTTGACATTTTGTTTTAGGATTATCAATCCAATGGATAATTAATCCAACAAATTTGTAGGATTATTAGTAATAGGGTAGGGGTAGGATTGTGAATACCACACTAATTTTATTGGATTATTAATACCTCACTATTAATATTGTGGAATCAAACATGGCCTAAATGAATACAATTTCCATACACGATAGTTATTGGTTTGTGTGATGTGATGCCCACTACCTAAATGTTCAGCATGTCCTTTTAACTTATAATTTCGTTTGTAAAAAACTACTCTTTTCTTTATATTCATGCAGGGATAGTTGATGAGGTACGAAAATTGTTTATACCCGGTGCGGACTATACCCGGGGCATTCGTCGGGCAATTGGAGTTCCTGAAATGGACAAGTACTTTAGGCTCAAACCCGAAATTGACAATGAAACCAAGGAAATGTTACTTGGAGTTGTCATTGAAGAGATCAAAGTCAACACTCGCATATTAGTCCATACCCAGTTGACAAAGATTCGTCGATTTAGGGACGAGCTTGGTTGGCCATTGTACCGCATTGATGCGACATGTGTGTTTGAGAAAGGTGGCGATGAGGCCAACCATGCATGGGAAGAGTTTGTGGCAAAGCCGAGCTTGGCGGTGGTAAATGAATTTCTCGAAGAGAAAAAAAATGGTGTAGTTGCTGCAAAAACTATTTCCTCTGCTTTTGTGAATCAACATTTGGAGGGGCTTAAAGTTTAAACTAAAGTGGGAGTGAGAACTAACGATTTAGCAAATTGGGGTTGGTTTAAACCATAAAATAAGTCTTTTTTAGGACTTGTTTCTAGGTCTATTATGAGTTTGGTTAATAAAGCGACATAATTATTATAAAAGTTATCAATATTTGCGAAGTTTATAATAATTTCTTCTATTTTTCATTTTATTTTTGTTGAGTTTTGTTTTTATTTTTAAATTATAGTTATATCATTTATTAAGCAAACTAATAATGAGAAACCGACCAAGATTCTCATGGACAGCGCTTTAAGGCTTGCATTTTCCGTGTTTCAACATTTAAACAAGAAAGAAATAAAATTCTCATGACATTTAAAATAACTTTTAAGAATAATTGTTTCTAACATTATTTATCATAAAAGCGAAGTACAATACCAGAAATGAAACTGATGCAATTTTAGTTAGCTTGGTAGCCATGTGATAGTGATGTTATTTTTTTGTCGTCCAAATTTGGGGAGTTTTTACACACACACACACCCACAAAAAAAATAAAAAAATAAAAAAATAATAATAATAATGAGAGAAAAAAAAGAAAAAGAAAAAGATACACTGACACACACATATATATATATATATATATATTTATCAGGATGTACAAGCCTTATTTGGCAATTACTCCAGGTGTTGAACTCTTGAGGTCATATGGACACGCATTTTCTCTTAGACAGATTTACCTTTGTACTTATGTTGTGCTAAAAAAAAATTAAAATCTAATTTCTTGAGTTTTATAAATCCATTCTTAACAAAAATGATATATGTAGATTATTTTTTCCAAGATCTTTCAAACAAGATCAATATCGAATACAAAATTTAAACAAAAAATAGAAATTTTTCATCAATGAAAACAATAATTTTTTTGTTTTTTGTTTTGAGAAAGTGAGCACTCAAAATTGTTAACAGTTTCAAATGGATAGATATCGAAAAAATACATAGAATAAAAAAAAATGATCCAAAATAGACTATTTAGCACAAAGTTATGACATGTTGAAGTTTCGACACCTTATACAACTTCTTCCTCTCTTTCGTGCAATTTCGGGTACCTATCTTTCCAAATTATGGAAATTTTAGTTAGCTTGGTAGCCATGTGATAGTGATGTTATTTTTTGTCGTCCAAATTTGGTGAGTTTTTACACACACACACACAAACACACACAAAAAAAAAAAAAAAAAAATAAAAAAAAAAAAAAAAGATACACACACACATATATATATAGTTATCAGGATGTACAAGCCTTATTTGGCAATTACTCCAGGTGTTAAACTCTTGAGGCCATATGGACACGCATTTTCTCTTAGACAGATTTACCTTTGTACTTATGTTGTGCTAAAAAAAATTTAAAATCTAATTACTTGAGTTTTATAAATCCATTCTTAACAAAAATGATATATGTAGATTATTTTTTCCAAGATCTTTCAAACAAGATCAATATCGAATACAAAATTTAAACAAAAAATAGAAATTTTTCATCAATGAAAACAATAATTTTTTTGTTTTTTGTTTTGAGAAAGTGAGCACTCAAAATTGTTAACAGTTTCAAATGGATAGATATCGAAAAAATACATAGAATAAAAAAAAATGATCCAAAATAGACTATTTAGCACAAAGTTATGACATGTTGAAGTTTCGACACCTTATACAACTTCTTCCTCTCTTTCGTGCAATTTCGGGTACCTATCTTTCCAAATTATGGACACAAATAAATTAAAGTAAGTTAAAATAATTTGAACAGATAAGTAAAAAATATTAGAATAGATAGATCAAAATAATTTGGACATATAGGTTAAAAATATTAGGATAGATAGATAAAAAATATTGGGACACAACTTGGGAAGTTCAAATATGGGAACATAGAGGTATGTTGTACAAAAATAAGTCGTTTATGGTGTTAAAATTTTAATAACATTGCACTCAATAGTGTATTTTGGACGGTTTTTTTTTTTTAATTCAACGTATTTTTTAAAAAATAAAATAAAATAAATTGTTTCATTATTTTGATTGTGTAACACCTCGTATTTTTAGAATCCGGTTAACGTTACCACAACCATTATTATTATCGCATAAATAAACCTGCAGAAGCCACAATCATTATTGTAATTAAGCAATGCCTAAGGGCATTTTCATTCAATTGTAATTTATTGCTGCATTATATGTATAAACAAGAGGGAACTTCTCACTACAACAAAAAGCCATTTTGCCCACACAACAAAATATGTCGACAAAAGGCATACATTGTTGGCAAAGAGTTTTACCGACATAGAAAGCTGTGTCGGCAACTCATTGGCAAAATATGTCCAGAAAAAATTTTGCCAACGAACACACCGTTACGTCAACAAAAGTAATGTCTTTAGCGACAAGCATCTTAGTTGGCAAAAGCCTTCGTCAATTGTCGCTATTTTAGCTTTACGTTGGCAAAAAAAGGTTCAAATAAGATGATTGTGTGACACTTTTGCCGACCCAAATTGGATCGGCAAAAATGAGACTTTTGGCAATGCAATATCAATTAGCAAAAGTAGACTTTCAGCGACATATAGTTGCGTCAATAAAACATTAAATTTTTTTTTAAAAAAAAATTAATAATTTGGTATTTGGAATGACAAAAGCTTCCATCACAAATAACAAATTACTTTTCAATATCCACAAGCATCAATTCAACAATTCACATACATCAATTTATTAATATCAAAATATATATATATATATATATTTCTGTATTTCTATTTATAATAATAGTCGACACGCATTCTTACAATTCAAAATTTAACTTTACACACAACAACAAATCAAAGTGAAGATAAGTACAAAAAATAAACAAAACTATGTCAATCCCAATTTGAATAATGTCCAGGTGAATATGCAAGTGAATAGACCTGCTACTCATATCCAATCAGCACTTGGGCAAGATCAGAATATCCATTTTCAACAACCTGCATTTAAGAAGGCAAAAAAGAAGCAAATTCTGATTATTAATATTGTCAGTAATGAAAATTAAACTTACGTTATGAGTTTAAGTAGGATGATATTAATCATGTCCAAACTTAGGTTAGGCATTGGACTTATCGGTCATAGATCTAGAAAATGCCACCTCATGGCTTTCAAGAAAGAGAGTTTTGTGAGTTCTTACAGGTGCAGTGATGTAACAATCCAAGCCTTCAAGGAAAATAATACACGATAATATCAATGAACGTATAAAATCAACTGTGTAGGCAAAAGAAAAAGAAAACAATTCTAACCACCTAGAAGTGGTTTAAGATAACAGACCCATACCTTAAAGCTGATGGTTAGATTTAAATCTGACTATGAAACAAAATTTTGATAATAAAAACCATTTTGAGACTACATCGCTGAGTAAATATTTTACTTTTTTTAGTATATGACTTCAAAAATTAATATTTCAAGTTCTAGGATAATAAACAAAACATGTTGGCACTATGAACAACAGCTCATGAAGAATTTTATATGAAAGAAATCGTTGGCTTTTTATATTATTATAATACATAGTAGAAAAACAGTTCACCACTAACATAGTCATATGGTAAAAGAAACAAAAATGAGAGATTAATATCAATATGGAAATGCTAAAACATCTGAGCATGTTAGTTCCTACTCGGTTTCCTGATATCAGCAGTCCTCACTCATTTTGTCATAATTTCAATGTTTAGATAAGGAAACAAAATTGTGCAAACAACACTGCCATAATTCATCCCTCTCTTACCATTGAAATGCCTAGTAAAGACAGATTGTTCTTGTGAATCAAGTAGTACTCGGTAGCTTCTCATTTCCAGTATGATAGTTCATTGATACAGTTTATGCATATTATCAGAAGAATATTGTACCAAATATTGATGGAATCCGCCTATGGACACCACCTTATTTTTCACTCTGTAGTCATAATGATGGTGGGCTCGACACCATCACACCATCATTGTAAGTAGGGAGTAAAAATGTAGATAAGAAATTTTCCAAACAATCAAGACATTGAGAAATCAATAATGGGAACCAAATTGAATTACGAGGTGACCATCACTCAAAGCCAACCAATTCATAGACAAATTGATGCTTCCATCTTGATGAATAACCTAGAGAATGATTTATTAGATGACATTAAACAATATATTCGCAGTTGTTCCTGAGAATTGGCAGTTGCTTCCTTTCTAACAAATCGATGCCCATGGTTTTGATAGGCTAGCGAATAGCTTATCCTTTATTATTATTATTATTACTATTATTATTATTTATTATTTTTTTTTTGGGGGGGAGAAAACCCCTCTTCATCTTTTGATGAGTTCCATTTGTTATTGTTGTCTCTTTGCTCATAAAATTATTTGGGATGAAGGATAGGTTCATTTTGTATGAGTAATGTTAGTCAATTTTTTTTATTATTATTTAAAATTCTCATTTAATTGATGTACAAACACTCATAAACCCAGCAAGAAAGAGTTGTGTGAGAAAGCGAAGGTGAAAGTTGGATGTTAGGCAATGATCCAGGAGGTTTGAGAATGATCTACAGACTTGAAACTATAGATGCTTTACATGGTCATCAAACGGCTAGAGATTAATATGGCAATTCAACGTTTAAGATGAAAGTAGACTCAATAAAAAAAGATAAAATGTTGGTTAGTTGTGCCAAAATGACATTTGTACTATTATAACAATATTGTTATAATTTGATATTTTGGCACTGCATTATGTCAAATTATAATTTTGCCATTGTCAAAATGACAATTATTGCTGGAGATGCTTTTATAACGTGAAAAAAATAAAATGTATTTTTCTTGTCATAGCTTATTTAGGTAATTGCCGAGTGTAGCAACAGATTCCTAAATATGAATATTTTTTTTTGAAGCCATGTAATTGAATCCTACATGCATTCAAACAATTAAGAACTTTAACCAAACATGCAAAAGAGGTGAATTTTCAATATGAAAGAAATGTCATTCCAATTATTTATACTGCCAAAGTTAATTTTAGATCTCCAGATTAATTGATAAAAAAAGAAAAAAAAAAAGAGAGAAGATTCTAGGAACCCTTGACAAGTAAATAAATAACTAAAAATCGATGGAAATACAAAACAGATTAACAACCAGAGATTCATTTAAGAAATTG